AAAGAAATAGGCAATTTGAATTTATTTATTCATAAGGCAAAGAAATATTTGCTAATTTATATTACTGACATTGATTTACAAGAAGGAGTTACGAGATACTTGGAATTCTTTTATGGCTAAGCCATACTAAATCAGATTATATCTTAGGTGGTACTTTGGGCATATCTATAGATTTTAATTTTTATTTCACATTTGTCAATACACATGCAAATGATTATGTGCAATGGAATTTCATGTCTGACAGAACTGTTAGGAGGTCATTTTTACATCTGCTTGTTTTGCCCTCAGCTATCTTAGAAGAAAGAAGGTGGCTGCTTCATTCAAAATCTGCAGAAGTAATGGATCAAAATATAACTTGGTAGTGTGAATGAGTGCTTTACATATCTTTCAGTTTCTAACTTAAATTCTCTCTGTGGTATTTCTATTCAGTTTCTGTTATTTTGACCTCAGAGGACAAAGTGAACAACTACCACTGTTTCCCATACAACATCCCCTCTATCACATCATTTTAATAAATTCCTCCCTTTTCATTCATGATGGCAGGGCTGTTGGTACCTTAATTACTAAAACAACCTGTGCATGGATAGAACTTATTTCAAAGCAGGAAATGTATTCAAGTGCCTGGAACTCAAATTTTCTATCTGAGCAGTTTATAGTCACTAAGAACAAAGGAAGCTCTTTTAACATTCAAAAGCAGTCCTAGGAGAAGAGTTTCTATAAAATCACAATTTAGGCAAGATAATTTCCTAGATTTGAACTTGGAATTGGGTACTGGTAGCCACATTGGACTCTTAACCAGATCAGATCTTTTGGTCATACTTTTGGAAGTAATAAAGGTTAATACTTTGTACTTAAAAATATTGCATGTAAAATTCCACCTCTCTCTCTGTTTTCACCTCTGCATTCTTGGTGTTCAGTATAGTATCCGAGTCACAGTAGGCACTTAGTAAATATTTGCTAAATGAATTTAGGATTCTTTGATAGTGCTTGCTAATGTGGGTCACTTTATGCTTTGCATTTCCTCATGTCTCTTTAAGTTTATTTTATGCAGCCTGGTAAACAGTCTTACTTCCATTTGCTGCCTTTAGAGTCCTAGTCAATGAGATCTACAATGATTTGGGATTTATTTGAATAGCTGATACCTTAGTAATGCCTAAACAATTCACTTGTGATGATACTGTAATTTTCCAGTTAGGAATACATCTGTTTTTTTCCCCTCATAAAGTGAGGATTTAATTGTAGCCTATTGATGAGAATTCAGAATATGTTAATTGAATACCTATAATGTTACAAGACACTTTGCTGGATTTTGCATAGCTACAAATATGAATTTTACATAAATTTTGTTTGCCAAGGCATTGGAATCTGGTTGGGTAGACACACATGTGTACTGTACAACTACAGAAGAAGGTGTACTCACTTCTGAGTGGCTGAACATGGGTGAGTGATGCTTCATGCATAGGATGAAATTTGAAGGGGGTCTTGAACAGTATGTAGGAAATTGACAGATCATGAAAGTCAAAGGATCCAGGAAGAAGAAACAGCAGGAGCCATACTCACAGGTGGGAAGGTACATGAAATGTTTGAAAAACTGGCAAGGGGTCTAATGTATTTAGGGTAATGGTCTCTCTGTGGCAGTGACAGATATTAAGGCTAAAATGGAGCTTGGAACCAAATTGTAAGGGGTCTTGTTTCCTTGTTAAATAATTTTCACTTTATTCCACAGAAATATTATAGATTTTTGAATAGGGAACTAACGTTGAGATATCTATATGATTCAGAGGAAGAACAGAAGACAGATTAAATATAGCCACAGGTGGGGAGATCACTTAGAATGCTGATGCATGGTTTATGTGAAAGATGATGAGGCTGAAGGCAGAAGGTACTGGAAGGAGGGCTTGATGCCAGAGGCCTGGGGTGGGTCAAATCAATGCCTGTTGATATTCTTTGAGGTGTGCAATAGGGCCTGGGGTGGGTCAAATCAATGCCTGTTGATATTCTTTGAGGTGTGCAATAGGGCCTGGGGTGGGTCAAATCAATGCCTGTTGATATTCTTTGAGGTGTGCAATAGCACACGGATTCCCAGTAGAAAGCGCTTTCCAGTTTCGAGGTTGTCCTTCCACCTGCATCATTTTACTAGACTGTGGAATATGCCTCCCTCCACTCTTCCTGGGAGACCAAGTATTTTTGTCTCAATTCTAGAAGGAAGCAAAAGGAGAATCTGAATAGTTGTTGCATAAGCCAAAAGTACCTGCCACATTTCCTCAACTCTCTGTATTTTCTGGGCCCTTGATTCATGTTCTTGAAGTAGAACTTGCTATGGGTTCTTCTCTGAAACTCAGCTCAAACGTTTCACGATATTTCTCTCTCTATTGTAATTATATCCAGCCCTGAGGGCAGAGACTATATTTGGGTCATCTTAATATGACAAAATACTTAGTATAATTTTTAGAATGTAATCATTCAATAAATGCTTATTGAATGAAGCAAATTTGTTTATGCTTTGTGGTTGCTCAGGCCTTTCTACTCCCTGTTCGTGCCACACTTATTCCATCTCAGGGTCTTTCTGTGCCTGCTGCGTGGGCAGCCGTAGATCCAGATCTTCGTGGCTCTGTCCACTTCAGGTTTCTGCGTAGATGTATCTCATCCTCAGCAATGTGTTCTCTGATACCCTCGTGTAAGGTACTCTCCTCACTCCAGCCTTCAGTAGCCCCTATCCTTATTATTTTGGCTTCTTTTTCTTTATATGTACCTCCATTTGACAAAATTTACCTCATGATTGTACTTTTACTCAAATTAGAAAGAAATGGCTTGTGATAAGAGTACCATATGCTTTGTTGCTTCTGGAGTTTTTCTCCAAGCTCCTGGAACAGAGAGAGGGAGGCAGGCACATAGTAGGCAGAGTAAGTATTTGCTGAGTGAATGGATGGTATGGGTCAGAGCTTGAAAGATAAGAATCATTTATAGGCAGGTTTGCTTGTAAGTTTCTGCAAGCTGTGGTATTGTAACTTTTATGATATCAAATCATTAATATTGCTCTCAGAAAATAAAAACAAATTCTGTTTTCTATAGATTGTGCCTGTGAAATCTAATTATGGATTAGTATTTGTTTTAAAAATATTTGAATGCTAAGCATATCCAGTCAGAAAACACTTTTATTATCCATGCCAGCTTAATTTTTAAGGCAGTGAAATGGAAGACTGTCATTTCAGTAAGCAACTTATTTTCATTTGTGAGAATGGAATATTTTGAATATTCTAATTGATTTTTGAAGATGGTTTTACAAGAAAATAATCCTTGTTTCTGTAGACTGTACACTTACCTTTAGGATGGAAGGGAACTAGAAACAGAAATGAAAGTGATTTGCTTCGAAAGATGCAAACTGTAGCCAAATTGCTTTTTGACAAGTGTGAGGATGAGGGTCATTCATTCCCAAAGTAGAAGGTAAATCTTGGGATAGTGAACACTTTAAAGAAGACCTGATTAAAAAAATAGTTTTCTATGTATATTTAAAGTTTACAAGGAGATTCTAGACTGTCATGAGCTCAGGCCTATTTTGTAGTATACTTTACAGCAAGTGTGCTGGGATATTTTTCTAGGAATCTGAAGTCTATAATTTGGCAGTAAAAAGTTGGTTATCAAGTCAATATTATTATATAGCTTTTAGTGTTGTAAGAATTCCCTTTTGGAAACCCATAAAAGCTCATTTTTTTTTCTCTATAAACTTTATCTGTCAGTTTTCTAGAAGGTCAGAGTACTGATGTTGGAGGTGACCTGCTCTGGGACAGAGTCAACAGAGTGGTCATAAAGCTTAAAATGCCACATGGTGTGTTCCAGAGGTTAGAATTTCTTTTCCATATCAAGATAGTGCTTATTGGAAAATAAGAGAAGTTAGATATTGATAAGTATTTTCTGTCAGTTCAATATCCAATCTGTTTCTTTTTTATTAGTATGTGTAACAGATGATTATGCAATTAACATATTCAGTTTTCATAATACAAGACACATCAGAAATTAAGTGTGAAACTAGAAGTTCTTTTCAATTTTACTCACCTTAACTAAATATTTCCCTTTATTTTAAGACTCACACAAAATGAATTCTGACATTTTACTTGAACTTTAAAACTTTTGAGTTTGCACTATACTTCCGTGTGTCCTATTAAAGACTATAACCGCCAAAAGAGTATTTTGGTTTTTAACACGCATTGTCAAGGTATAGCTTACTTATACATAAATAAAGATCATGATCCATTTATAATTATTTCATAATGCAAGGAAATTTTAAGTTAATTGAGAATTTTATTTTATGCATCAGACAAGCATATTTGTGAAACTAAATTATAGTGTTTGTGAATCACTATACATGTAGTCAAAAGTTTTAACTCGTGCTGATTAGTTTTTTATTAAGTTTCTTCATAGCCATAGTAGTTAGAATAATTTGAAAACCACTTTCAAGCTCCTGGAGGGGAGGAAGCTTTCAGTAATTGGGAAGTTGAGTAGTTTTTACAAATAATTTGGCCTCCTTCCCCAAAGTTAAGAAAAAATTTATAGTTTAATTGAAGTTGAAGCATATTCAATGAAGATAATTTGAAGAATAAAATGAAGTACAAAGAGGAAAACAAAATCACTTGTAATTTGACTGCAAATGATTATTTATGTCTGTCTACCTGTGTGAACGTGCTCACTCTCATATTTATAGATTCATTTCTTCACATACCTTTTATACATTCATTTCATGCAATCATATAATAGTGTAAACATTTTTCTATGCCAACAAATATTCTGTGTGATTTTTGATCAATGATCATTTAATCATAAGACATCCCTTTTGGTTGGATATTTTGAAGGCAAACTCCAGTAAAGTTTTTTTTTTTTTCCTGTACATTAAGTTTACTGTGTATTCCTGATATTTGATGTGACACAGCAGGATTTTTGAGATACTCAGGATCCTTGTAATGTAATTAGCATAAACCCCATTATTTGAGCTCTCTTAATTGTTTTTATAATTTCTTTCTGATTCTTCCCACAAAGGCCTTCCATAAATGCATCCAGTAAATGGAGAAATGAATTGGGACAAAAGCTGTACATTCTTATAATCTATGTATTTTCCACACAAGATATATTTTCCATTGGAACAGGCATGTCCTCATTGCTGGTTACCTGTTTATACTGTGAACAGCCTCTACTCCATAGCACTATGTGAGTGCCCGTACGTGGGAGACAGACAGCAGCTGTTACCAAGCCTGTCAACTTTTTCCTCCCTAGACCACTGCAAGCAACAAGCATAGCTGCCATGACCATGATTCCATGTTCCTCCTCATCAATACAGATTCTTCTTCTTCTTCTTTTTTTCATCAGAAAGATTCTTAATAACTTTCAGGGTTAATTCTTGGAAGTGGTGTTGCTGAGTCAAAAGTATGCATAGTTGGCTCGGCGCCTATAGCTCAACCGGCTAAGGCGCCAGCCACGTACACCTAAGGTGGCGGGTTCGAATCCCCAGCCCGGACCCGCCAAACAACAATGACGGCTGCAACCAAAAAATAGCCGGGCGTTGTGGCGGGCGCCTGTGGTCCCAGCTACTTGGGAGGCGGAGGCAGGAGACTCGCTTCAGCCCAGGAGTTGGAGGTTGCTGTGAGCTGTAATGCCACGGCACTCTACCCAGGGGGACAGCTTGAGGCTCTGTCTCAAAAAAAAAAAAAAAAAAAAAGTATGCATAGTTTTCAGGGTTTTTGTGTTATGATCAAATCAAAGGCAACAGAACATTTTAATACTTTAAAGCAAAGCTGACTATATGCATTAGTGGTGTTTTTGCAACCTTCAGTTTACATTTTCAAGACTTCAGAAAGGTTCTTTTAATTTACAGTCTATTCTTTGCATCACCTTTACAGACGGTTGAAATTTGGCCATCACCTGTTGCTTCTTTCTAACATGTAAGTACTACAGGGAGAGGTAAAACATTGCACTCTGGCAGGCATTTACTCTCAAAAATGTGAAGTAGTTTATCTGATATTTTAAATTTAACTCTCACAAGTAAAGTTTGGAAACAAGGTAGGTACACTTAGCAAGAAGAATGATTCGAGGAAAATAGAGTAATTCAGTTCTGTTAAAAGTCAATTGAGCAACTATTATAGAAAATATAGGATATTATACACTTAGTTTTAGCAGTTTAAATTATAAATTCTCTCTAAAATGATTCCGGCTGTTTGTTAACTGTGAATACTAATTAATCCAGTAGAGAGACTTATGGTCCCAGATAGAGATGCAAGGGGGAATTAATTAACTCCTAAGCAACTTTACTCTATTTGAACACACTGTTCGCAAAGTGTGAAATTACTTTTTTAAGAGATGATGAGCATGCAGAGTGTAGCTCTGGGTAGTTTGCAAAGAATACTCAGTGTTGTAGGGTCTCTGCTTCATTAGACAAAATATTTATGTCATTGGAATGTCTCCTTGAAAAACTAGTTGATAAAGAGATATTAGTGACAGACAAGGCCACTAAATAGATAAAAGTCACAATGTTTGTTCCATTCAGGATACTTTGAGTGATTGCTACTTTTATTCAGTGATAATGCATGTGAGATGATGTGGGAAAGCCTGTGCTTCCTCCGTAGAAACTGTGGAGAATAGTAGACCTCCTGGAAATTACACACAGTTGGCTATGTATACCTTTTTTTTATTCAGCAGCTTTAGTCCTAGACATCTTCAGGATTTAAAAATCTCAGTCTATTATTAACAGACTGACTCTTTTTCTTATAATAGTGGGTAACTAATAATGTGCCTCTTGTGATATTTAAAAATAGTGATACAGCTCTCATTACCTCTTCTATTAGTCCCAGATTTACACATCCCTGGTCTAAACTGGGTTTCTGAGCTTTTTCCAATTTAGCACGTAAGCTCTCTAGTCTCTAACTGGTTTTTATCTCTATTTGATATTATCTTATTAAATCATCAGACTATTGACAAATCACAAGATTAATGAAAAATATATGGTCGCTAGAAAAATACCTGCTATCATAAATAGAAGAAAATATACTTTTAATTGATACTGCTTATGTATAGTACATTTCTATGATTTCATGTAGAACTTGGAGATGAGAGAAGTATCACTGAATATTGTAATTGATATGACGTTAAAACATGGCTTATTGATTTGGATGCTAAAGGATGGGTTCTACTGCTATCACCTCATACTTCCTAATATCATTTAAAAAATTTGTCACCGTAGAGTGATTTTCACTGATATAAAATGAATATTAAAAACTTTAAATATGTGTAAGATTGACACATTTAAGGATATCTATTTCTAACCCTCTGGTCTGTTCTGAAAGTTTCTCTTTCTTCTCCCAAGTGTTTACCTGATATTCTTTTACCTCCTGAGCTGCTAGGATTTTTGTATTTTTTTCAAATTTACTTTCCCTTACCAATAAATCAGATTATATTATAAGATTGTGTCCTTTTCATTTTTCATTGGAACTGAGTAAATCCAGAACTTTATACTCACTCAGTGACATTCATTTCATCTCGTCAAGGGAAGGCCACACATGTTTGCTTGGGTTACTATACTTCAAATAGGATGTTGACAGTGTTTGTGTGTTAGAGTAATACTGCTATTTTTGTTTTAAAATTAACTGAAAATGTGATATGTGCCTCTCACTTGGAAAGGGAAACTTTTCAACAATTTTTTATTTAGTTAAATATGGATTAAGTTCTTAAAGGATGATTGAGTGAGACTCAATAGCGCCAGTATAGTTAAGAATCTGTTAGGCATCTTATTTTAGGCTCATTTGCTGGGTATATTTATAATTACCCTGCACAAATACCCTGCACAAACTGAGTCTGAGTTAAATTTTGGCATACAAGGCAATGTAGGGTAGCAAGATAATGCTTCTGTCCAGGAAACAAATGCCAGTCTAATGATTAAGCTACTTGATTATCCTTGGGTTAAATGTTCTTGTAGAGTCTAGTCAGGTTGGGGAAGATGGTTTTCCATGCACAGAACATAGATTCTAAACCTTCAAAAGGTCTATTGGCAGAACATCTTTCCTTAGACCAAGTTGTAGCATTTTCAATAGAGTTAGAAGCCACCTGTTTTATTTACATGGTGATACAATCTGTGCATCAAGTTTTATCTGTGATTGTAAATAGTATTATAATGAGTGACAATAAGAACTGATAATTTGCAATTCATTATTTTAAAGTTTTATTTTTGGGAGACAGAATCTCACTTTGTCATCCTTGGTAAAGTGCTTTGGTGTCACAGCTCACAGCAACCTCAAGGTCTTGGGCTCAAGCGATTCTCTTGCCTCAGCCTCCCAAGTAGCTGGAATACAGGTGCCTGCTACAATGCCCAGCTATTTTTAGAGATGAGGTCTCATTCTGGCTCAGGCTGGTCTGAAACCTGTGAGCTCAGGAAATCCACTTACCTTGGCCTCCCAAGTGCTGGAATTACATGTGTAAGCCACTGTGCCTGGTCATTATAGTAAAGTTTTAAATGAATTAGGAAGCAGTTGTCAAGGCTATTGCTAAAGATTTTTCTGATTCATTGAGTTAACACACTTTCCGTTTGCTGAGTGCTGAGGATACAGTGATAAGCAAGCAGACCATGGCAGTGTCCCCATGGAACTTAATATCTGTGTGGGGGGTATAGACATTAAAAATAATCACTTGTACAAACATACCTGACGTGTGATGGTAAGCGCAAAGAAGTCCTACAGATTGTTTTGTTAAGAGGACCTGGACTTTGTTTGATGGTGATTGTAGTAAATTATGAGCTTGGATGAACATAGCTAATATGGCTGACCTCTTCACCTGCGGTTCTAAAACCTTCTTGACATCTGAATCGTGAATATTGTGTTTTTCCACCTATTCTAGTCATTATGACCTATTATTGTCTTTAAAAGTGTCAGTCCAAAGATGGGGGGGAGGTGAAGGATAAGGATTGTGGTTTCAGAGGAGTGATTAGGTAGGACTCTGGGAGGAATCCTAAAGGAGCAGAACAAAAAATTGGAGTATTTTACTATCCTAAGTATATGATACTCAATTTTATGTGATTTACATCACTGTTGTCTTAGATTTACAAACTATTAGGAGGTATGGTTAAATACTACATGTGACTAATACCTTTATTATTTTGTAGTGACATTTTTATTCCATTTGCATGTGAAGCACACCACAACTTTTGTCATTTACATATTAATAATCACAAAACATTTATATTTAATCCTGAAACTCCAAAGGCTAGAAAACGGGGACATGTTTTACTTATGCTGTATAGTGTGCTTGTTGTGAAGCATAATGGGATGAGTCCTGGCTCTGTCACTTACTCTGTGATGCCGATTTCTTTATTTTTTTCTTATGTAACAAAGAGTAGTGAACAATGGTGTCAACATTCCTTCCACCTGTGGTCCTGCGACGCACCCTGACTTCTCTCCTGGAGGAGTTATATTCAAATGGGTCAGATAGCCCAGTTTTTTCCAACTGAGCTAGTTTAAACCCATTTCAAGAAGAGAGAAGACTTGGAGAAATGCTATCTTGAGAAATCAAATATGTTATTCATTGTGCCAAACTTAAAAAAATGAATAGTTGTTGGCAGAAAGTATTTAAAAATACCTTTTTTCTCTAGTTCTAGAAAAGTTCACTTGTACCCTCATTAGACAGACCATGTAGAACTAGAGTATAAATGTTTTAACACAATAACTAAGTAAATGACACAAAGTCTATGTTAACCAGTTTGATGAAAATATTTCAAATTGTAAATGAAAACACTACACTGTACTCCATGTTTGCATTAATGTATACAGCTATCATTTAATAATAAAAAAAAATGCCTTTTTTCTTCCCTGTTAAATAAAATCCTAATTAGTGAATGTGGAAAGTTCTCTCCAGATTGATGGTGAGGGAATTGGCTTCTTATCCTACTTATACTTCTCAATTAAACTAGGATGATAATAGATCAAATGGGCTAAAAATCTGCAGGTGATTTTCAAAATTATTGATTCTCATAGATCTTTTCTTATGAAGCTTGCTTTGGCCTAAAATTCAATTGCTTATGCTATTTCTCCCATTTCTTTAATTATTGTTACTTCTATTGTATCAGTAGGTTAAAATAAACACATTATATGAAAAAATATTATTTCCCATTCTGATTTCTGTGAACAATAAAAAAGATTCAGTACTTGAGGGAGAGCATACAATTTGTTCATATACGCTTGTTGCTTGATTTAATTTAGACTTCAGGAATAATGGGAAATGATCAGCGGCAAATACTGCCTGACACTTGTTTGATCAGAACCCGT